CGCAAACATGTAAAAACGAACTTTTTCTTGCGAACGTTTTTGCCAAACTTAAATGTGTGCTATTTTAGCGCCTGTATTGTTCAATCTGACAAAAAAATAAATAAGACCGGAGGGTGAATGGGCATGGGGCCATGAACCCTCCACAAAAAGGTTATTAGAGTTTATCTATGGTTACATTCTTTTATTGGAAAAAAATTATTAAATATTGTACTATTGAATGAAGTAATGATTTTAAAAATATTATTGGTGTAGGATAATGTATACCACACACAGAATAATATACAATAGAAAAACAATGTTTATTATTTTAACAAAAACTATGCATGGCCCCTCCCAAAAACAATCAGTTGATCCACCCCATGGCAATAAAACATAATTTGTGGCCAAATTTAATGTAGTTTCTGATTTTGTGTTTGATCTCTACGAGTGCTGTGTTTTCAAGTTGTAAGCCGAAAAAATACCAATTTTTGCAGTTATCTCAGAACGCACATTTACGAGGTGAGAAAATTGAAATGAGGTTTCAGGGCACTCAAAACTACAGAATGATAGTTGCTGTCACATTGTTTTCTTGGCCATAACTACCCAATATCCCCTTTTCATCAAATACTCGACTAAAGTGATTTCTGGAACATCTGTATCTGAGATGGGTGCCGTTATGATGGCCATACATTAATTTTAACTTTAAATATAAACAAATACTTAGACAGGAGAATGTAATAATGGTTTACCTGATTTATAATGGGGAAAACTGACAGAACACATTATTTAAAACAATTTTGTCCACAAATAGTTCCTTCCTAACTTTAATTTTCTCATCAAATGCCTATAAAAAATTCATAAATTCAATTTTAATAATTAATGATAAATTAAATACGAACCATTATTACACACACAATACACACACAATAATAATAATAATTTAATACACATTATTACACACCACACACACACACACACACGCGCGGCCGCACGCACAATACTATTAGAGTACTATGTATTGGAGAATTATGTAGGCTGCGGAAAATCGCATTTCGAGATTTCAATCGAAATACAATTTTTTTAGGGTCCCCAGGATTATCGTAGTGTTTGTTATTGTATTTTGATTTATTTTTTTCACAACGTGCGTCCGACCTTCCGACAGGTCTATAGTGCCGTCTGTCCATCCGTTCCATCTGGTGACCTTAATACTACTAGCGCCGTAAACCATGCCTTGAAACTTTTTCCAAATCAAAAACCCCTGTTCATCTGGTCGACGTCATAATTACAGATTTTGAAACACATTCTTCAAAATTTGGGGTACTTCACATAAAAGTCATGAAAATTTTCCCGAAAATGTTCTACAATTTTACCGTTAATTTCCTGTAGAGAATGATGTGTAACATTCACTTATAAACGTCGCATAGGGCTGATTTTCATATCTAGAATTTTCGAAAAATTTCAGAGTGTATGATTTTGTTCCGTGCGTCTCTTATCAACTACCAAAATTTAAAGAAGTTTTTCCTTCAAATAAAATTTGTTCTCACGTGATAAGTGGGAGGTTTTATTTCGTCTTGAATCATGTACATTTTTTTGAAAATGTCAATAAGTCTTCGCCGCAATATTGTGTAACAATATTTAATTTTAAAAATGAAAATACAGAAACAAAATTTCCCAACGGCTCCAATTTTTCTTCCAAACTTTTATTGGCATAGTGATAAATGTTACTCTATGAAGATGACATAACGCCATTAATGACGTTATTCTTTGTTTTTTTCCAAAATGCAAAAATTGTAATTTTTTGACTAGTCGTTCACGTAGTAAATATTTATTTTTTAAATTTTTTTAGCCATCAATTTGTTCACAATTTCAAATTATCTATATGTATGAGTATCAATGTGTAAATAGTGTCAAAATTAAAGTTTCTCGAAAAACTCAACCATTTTCTTTGTGAAAACCTAGCTCAAACTTCTGCATTTTCAGAAAGCCCACAACCCCATTTTCTTCAAAAAACGGCTTACAAATGTTTTTCTTCAAATTTTCGAACGATAGCCGCTAAAATGACCTTTTTAATATGACCCTTAAAGTTCAATCCCGGTATTTTTTTCCCCTAAAGTTCGCTCCTCTTTTTCAATAGGCAAGACCTTTCTCCATCAATATCGGTCTTGAGTGGTTTTTCGAATTCGTGAGGAATGTCTGGAAAAAAAATCCATTACGGCTATGCACACCCTCATTTATTTTGATGTCTATTGCAAAATAAACATCATTTTTTAGCCAGCCACTGGTAAAAGCGGGTTTTCGAGGAATCTACTGCGTAATAAATACTCAATTTTTAGTACTATTGCTAAAAGTGAGACAATTCTTACGTGTTCTGATAAATCTGAATGCAACAAAATGCAGCAAAAAAGCCTTTCGTATGATCAGCTACAACTGTTCGTATTTTATTATAGTATCCAATTAAGTGATTTCTGTACTTGAAATAAAATGGGAGTCAGTCATCTGTCTAAAAAATAGTGTATGACACACGTGGTAAAAGTGATTTTATTTATCTCGTAGGATTGCGCCACTCAGCCTGTCGGCCTTGTGCCGCAACATTTCTTACTCACAAAATAAAATCTCACTTTTACCTCACGTATTATAAATAACTATTATTCTTTAGTGAAGTAATACTATTTATGTATGTACTCCTCTAATTGAGCTTTAATTGTGAAGAAGTAATTCTTGGAGTTCTGTGTCAAAGCCTCTCATATGGCTGGTTTTGCCCGTGGCCAATTTGTGAATATCGTTCGCCATTACTCATTAATACATGGCGGATTTTGATGACCTACAACATTGCCAAATGATCAATAAAATGCTTTAAAAATGCCCTAAAAACAAAAAAAAATTGCTGCAGAAAAATTGATCAAAACCACTTCAATGAACAACGCAAACTGTTGGATATGTTACTGATATAAGTAACACTTCTTTATTCCGTTAAGTGAACTCAGCTCCAAACTTAAAGTTTGGACTGTTCTTTAAATGAAAATCTCAGCCTTCCTTTATTACGGAATCGTCCGAACTGACAATGGCGCAGATAGGTGTCACAGGAACTTTAGATGACGTAGTACTCACAGCGGTTAATAATACAATACATGGGCGAAGAAATCGAATAGGCTACTCAGAAATTCTGTGTTGAACATTTGTTGAACCTCGGAAATATTGTCGGAAGCAAGTGCCTAAAAAATGGCTTATATAAATGGTTAATTTTCTTTTTCCATAGCATCAATACTAAAAAGCGTTGTCTTAAAGTGCAAAAAATTACATTTCATTGAAATCCGCCCCTTCTCATTAAAGACTCAGTTGATTCAAAACTCCACTTTGTCCTGAAAGATTCACTGGGAGGTATCGTATCACAAATAGATATTATTTCATTCTTAATACAATTAGGTATGTCGCAATATGTATATTTGTTAACATATCCTTTATATTGATTCCATTAACACAATAAAATAAGTATTCACTCATATAATATTGGCTTTAGATATTTCATTTTTAACTTTACTGCTGTCTGTTACATAATGGTAATGAATAAACACTTATGACACTTGACTGTAAATAGTTAAGATTTTATTTTTGTAGCGCATATAACTATTTTAAAAAGTAATAATAATAATAATAATGATAATAGTAATAATAATAAATAATACTGAATGTAATAAGAAGTGTTGATTTGTAGTTTTACCTGAATATCATTTACATCGTTCAAGAGAATCGTTCGGAAGGGTCCGAACATTAGTTGTCCAGCAGGATAACGATACATGACGTCTTCCAATACCCATTTCATTAGAGTCCACTCTGAATGAAAACAAAGTTACTTGTCAATGGAACGTACTCAATTACGCTGAGAAGTATTGAATTGAATTAATGCCTTATTTTACGTGGCGAGACTCGGGCCATCAGGCCCGCTCTTCCGTCTGACCACGCAAATTTCGCTACGCTCCTTTCACTAACTAGCAGAAAATGGAAATACTTCTTGGGCGAGAAACTGGCGATATGCATTTAGCTCAGAGGCGTCATTTAGACTTGATCTTTTTCATGCAAGTAAATCTACTAATATGGGACAGCCGGCTATACTTTCCCTCCGAAGGAAGGCGTACGAAGGATTTTTTCGCCCTTAAAAATCCACGGCTTCGATCGGGTTTGAACCCGGTACAACAATCCGGCATGCTAACCGTTTCACCATCGCCGCCGCGCTAGTAAACTTTTCAGAAACAAAAATAATTCAATTATATTACGTTTTGATTTGCTTTGGTGGTATAATGGTTAGCCTGCCGAGCTACTGGTCCCAAGTTTGCGGTTCTAACCCAGTCAAAGTGGAGGGGGGGTTTGAGGGGCCAAAAATCGACGGCCCGCATGCGGAGGCTTGTCAGCATGTAAAACAGATCCCGGGAAAGGCATTTGTCTAGTCTTGGTAAAATTAAATTCTCTAGCAATTTAACTTCAATCAGAGTTTCGATTTAAAGTACTGGATAATTGCGTACTTGAGGATGCACAGCTAGTTTCGAATTTAACGTACGCACTATATTGAAGCCTACAGTACTGTGCAGTCTTCAATAGGTTTCGCTCCACTAAACAGCGACCCGTCGGAGCGAGTCTGGGCCGGCAGCGGCGACGTGTCGCAACGGGCGACTTGACGCGCGGAAAAGCAGATTCCATTTGGAATGTGAGCGAGTACGCTCTAGCTTTTGTTACTGATTCTGTTACGCCGATTACGCTAAGAACTTTGTTTATTCTGTTGTAACTGTTAGTGACTAGATTCAGAATTTGAATATCTACTGGTGAACTTATGAACGGCTATACGTACTTTGTATTTTCTCTTTTGGCTGATTGGTTTATTGTACCTGAACTTGGATTGTGGTATTTATTAACGCAGAAAGCTTGATAAACTCTTATATTGAGTACTCCAATCTTTCTGTTTTTTAAAAAGCCTTTGACGACACCTACTAGTGTCGCCCCTAACAAAAATTCAGTGAAGAGGAGCTCACGGTCCGGGAAGAGTCCGCAGTTGAACAAGTTGCCGACGATCGGGCGAGTGGGGGGCCCGGGAAAGCGATTGGCCAGTCTCCGGAAGTGCAGCCAATCACGGACATATTCCAGCAGCGTCCACGGCAGCCAAACTACTGCTGTGAGGATGCTCTCTAACAACAGCAACAGTTTCCAAAACATTCTGAAAAAATTCGTATTGGGATATTAGATGCCATATAAAAATGCTCTCTACTTAGAGCAACTACTTCCAAAACATATTGGAAAAGAATTCATCAATTTTTTTGTAAGATTTTTTCCTCGGGTAGCGTAGGGGACGGTTAAAAAATAGCCTAGGTCTTACTTTCGTTGTGATATTTGAATTTTAGAAGATACAAATGTACTCATTTTTTCCATGTCTTCCTATAATGCGTAAAGATTTTTACGTTCTTGCCACTGCTTGCGCAGTAAAGAGAAGTGTTTGTAATGCTGCGGGAAAAACGACGAAATTTTGGCAGATAATTTTGACTGGATGGATTTGGATTTGGACTGGATTAGTTATGACGATCTGAACGGACTAGCGGCCCCGCGAGTTGGAAAGGGATAATTTGATTTTTGGGGTACTTTACATAAAGCTTCAATAGCATTTCCAAAAAATCTAAAAAATAGTTCACATTTTTAATTAAACTTTGTCCGATAGTAACTCTTAAAATATGTCTCGCCTCATTTTAGTTAAAATACATAATTTTTTGAAAATTTAAAATGTTCAAAAATTGTTTTTATTTATTTATTTATTTATTTATTTATTTATTTATTTACTTGTTCAAAAATTTTTGTTCAAAATGTTCAAAAATTGTTTTTATTTGTATTTAAAAAAACATTTTAAAAGTTCAATATTGAAGATGAAAATTTTTGTTTTAAATGAAATATTTTTTAGGAAATACGAGAAATTTCTGCTTGGAAAACGCATAATTTCTGCTTCAAGTTAGTGCAATTTATAAGAGAACATTTAAAAAATGTTTCAAATATTTTCTTTACAAATTATTTACGGAGAGAGAAAAGGCGCTTAAAAATGCCCCGGCCTCATTTTCGTTGAACTCTCTGAATTTTCGACAACTTCAAACTTAGCGGTTGTACAAAAAAGTATGTGCTGTTGTAGCGCGATTGGGAAAGGTAGTTTTTTATATGTAGTGCTATTACAACCTGCATTTACATATGAATTGCTTTCTTAGTGATGTTGATGTTGGACATTCGTGTTTTTGTAAGATGTACTGAGATTACGAGAACATGAGCATGACTGTAATGTTCGTCAACCAAATCATACCAAAGTATCTCTGACTTTATAGCTTTGTAGGAAATTTCTACCTGGATTAACTAAATTATCCGAACCCCAAATAGAAAAGATAATAATATGCATGACATGTAAAAATCAATGTGTCGAATTCATCGCCAAGACATAACTCCTGTGAAATACTTTTAAAATGATGAGAATGCGGTGTATTAAACAGAAAATGTTAAAATATAAACAAATATTTTTATAAATTTTAATATTTTTTTCATTGTACTGATATTTTGATCACTAATATGTAGAGTTAAAATCGTCAAAAAATGTATTAATGACACCATTTAATGTTCAGCATGATTCATTACAACAGTAATGAGGGTTTATTATAAAAATATAAATATTTCAATGAATTTTCGGTTTGTAAAAAGGTACTCTTCTTGGTATTCGAAGGGTGCACAAAAATTACTAGCCAAGGGGTTGAGAACAACAGGTTATCAAACAGACAACATTTTCTACGTAAACATCGCGAATTGCCTCGGCCGATAGATAAGGTTACTTTATTTGTCGAGTCACACACAAAGATAATTTTTTAAGGTTGCTTTTCATCATCTTGGTCATATAGCGATCTCTGTGATAATGAAACCGGCATGAGAACACGTAAGGACAACACGAAGATCAATGGGCGAGGCGGAATACGAACTCGCGACCCGCGGCAGCTACGGCCCTTCGGTCTTAGCGACCTCAACTGTCCAGGCGAGTGAAGATAACTTTATCTACTCCACACAGACACTTGACGAGAGGTGAATGACATGACACTCTTCTGGTCTGGACACCAATTCTGGTCTTAGATAACGAATCTTGCACCTTGCATCCAGATAATAATGCACTCGAACCTGTCCTTGGACCAGCCTGAGTTTTTTTTCTGTGGAAAATTTGGGTTGATTATTATATTCCGTTTCTTTTTTTTCACTTGGAAACTTTCGAAGATTTTCTGCTTCAATGGAATGGTCCATATGAGAATATACTCATCACCATATGCCTATCACTTGGCCCTAAGAATGGGAATGAGGACGAGATAGAAAAGGAAGTTCGCGGCCCTTATTCTATCCTTTTCAGACCCAGAGAATAAAAAAAATGTGTCCTGTAGTCCTGAGAAATATGTTTCTTATTCTACCTTACTCAAAGTTAAAAAATCGTACTACCGCGAAACGCAAGTTCGTACAAGAAAAAACCATTACAAACAGATTTTCAACGACTTACTCAAACGATGTGTATCGGTCTGAACGCGAAGAATGCATACATGAGGGGGAATAAAAACAAAAATCCTAACCTGCGCAGTTGTGAGAATTAGGACTCTACGTATACCTACACAATTGTGTAAGCAGGGTCGGAAACGATGTCCGTAAAGTTAGCATACCCACTTATCACAATATTGAAAATCTGTATCCCAGAATTTTGTTCTAATTAAAGACCCAAATTATACCAAAATTTAAAAAAATTCTACTAATTCACAACATCGAAACATTCAACACTAAATGTGGGTACGCTAACTTAACGTTAAGTTATCATACCCACACAAGAAAGACGCATGAAACATAAAAACTAAATGTACCATAATTTTGTTCCAATTAAGCTATTCGTATGATTCATGAAACTTTACTTCGCGTGCAGCAAATGTTCTCTCGCATGTTAATGCCTATTTGATAGCATAGAAATGTTTCTCTCACTATATTCTATAGGATGAGATATTCTTGGACATTCCATTAATTTTTTGTAGGTTTGGCACATATCGATACCACTACTGCCTGCTATATTTCAACCTTTGGCTAACTTTGTGACGTCACGCTTAGAACGCTTGAATTCCTTTATCTTATACTATTTGCTCGTTCTGTGTATACTGTGGTTTGCGCAGACTGAGGACATTTATTTGCATAATTATTCATTCAAAATTTGCTCTCGCAGCAACAATTATAAGTTTTTGTCGAGGTCTGCAAGTGCTGTGTACGTAATTGTGGAGGAATAGCGGTGTACAGTGAAGAATAAACACGTGTCTTCTTAGTTTTGGATTGTTATTTTCCTGTACTAGTATTTTCGTTATCAGCAGCAATATGGTGAAATATTTGTAAGTCAGCGTGTTCAGCCACGTAGCTTTCTCAAGAGTGAAAAGATATATTATTATTTTTGTGACTATCAGGAAAAGCTAACTGTCAAACAACATTGAATAATTACTTCAAATATTTCCAAGGAAGTGTGAATTGTTCCACAAAATCTCGGGATAATACTGAATAAATATTTATTAAAAATTTCTTTTCAACATAAATTGCAGAGTTTTTACTCTCTCTTGTACATACGTACATACGGATTAATATACATAATGTAGGGAAAGTTGTGTAATGCGGCGCTAAACAGGTTTTGCTAAATTAACACATACTTTCTCGTATTTAGAAATAGTTACGTAATACTTTTTGCACTAGTTATGTAATACATTTTTTTAAAAATAAATTATAAAATTGGAATGATTGGAATTTTAGCTATTTTCCTTTTCCTTTACATGAAGCCCCTGGGACATTAAAAAAATAGCTCCAACGTTTTTGATTAAATTTTATTGTTCGATAGTCATCATCATTTTAAAGGCATTGTTCCTTGTCGCTGCCTCAATGACATTCTGTCCTCCACTGTCCTTTTGATATCTGCATAGTTTTTTTAATTGTAATTGGGTTTGAACTTGTTGCTAAATTTATATTTTAGGTCTCCCTCTTGCTCGTTTTCTAACTATTTTACATTCCGAAATTGTATTTAAGCATTTTTTATGCCTAAAATGTGTCGAAAGAATTTTTGTTTTCCTGTTCCTAATGGTCTTTAATAGAGATCTCTTCTCGTTAACTTTTTCTATAATTACATAGTTTTATTTTTTCATTTCGATATTATGGAGGACATTTATGCAAATGGTGCATGTCTCATTGTCGTTAAAAAAACTGATTTTTCTAAAGTTGCGAAAATTCAAAAGTTTTCTACATTCTATCCAGCAAAAATTATATTTGTATTATATCCATCATCCATCATTTTATCTCTGCTGAATATCTGGTTAATATGAAAGTCCAGATTTTCTAGTAGTGATGGTCTTTCCATTGCTCCCAGTACAGCGAGGGAAGTGTAAGATCGCTTATAAGAAACTTGTCTCTCGATTTGAACTAAGCGTGCTACGCGTACGGTATTGCCGACTTGCGTGTTTCCGTCCCGATCGTCTAAAAAGCGCGCTAACGTTTCGTTTTACAACCACTAGTTTTAAGTTCCAAACATTGGACGCGCCTTAGATTCACGTAAATACTATACATCAATTATTCAGTTTTCTTCGTCTCAGTGCATTCTCCAGCGCTGGCATACACACCTGAATGTAGTGGCCGTTCTTGCCGCAGCGGCGTTCACAGCAATAAAATCTGCAACTTTGCACTGCTTTTTTACTCGAGCACAGGTGAATGCAGTATGTCACGTTCCGTTCCTCAGGAGAAGTTATCTGTGTGAAGATGTAATTTTTGAATACGCACATTTTTGGAAGCGCATGCGAAATATGGAAAGTTATAATAATTCAGTTTTAGATTAAAACGAGTATATTTGTGATTAATTGGCTAAGTCGGAAGTAACACTTGTTAAGAAGAAAATGAAACACTTTTTCAGAATCATTCGTATTAAATTGTTCTTAACATTATTCAAAATTATTCATATTTTTGGTACAACAATTAAATATTTTTTTTCGTTAACACTTTGGCAATATTTAAAAAAAAAAGAGTCATCCGATGATATGCTAACTTCACTTTTAACTGCTCTTTGCTCACTGCTAACTGCTCTTTAGAAAACAATTTTGCGGCTGCTCCGACTTTGACACTCTTTCAATCATCAATAAACAGAAGTGCAGTGGATT